ATAGAACCAGCCATAGTATTCCTACAGTGGAGCAAACTAAGATCCAATTAGAAAACATTGCTTATCCCAAAGTTATCACAACACTACTAAAACTATGAGCATATCTTGCCTCTTGGGTCAGAAGAGGTCATAATAAGTACCCTATGAGAGTACTTACTGTTATATTTTGCTAAATAGTCATGTCGTTAAAAAGCCTTATAAATATTTATCATTGTATCGCTTGGTTTTATGCTGCTTTCAGCCTTGGTCAGAAAATAAGTGGGTAGAAGCTAATGAAACTAGTAAGCAGATAATACAGAGATTAATAACTTATCAAAGTGCTGAGAATAACTGACTGTCAGTTTTCAATGTCATAAATGGATCATCTACATCAATGTCCCCCTACATAAGGCTCAAGAGAGAATGGGAAAGATTTAAGAGCTTGAGGATGAGGAGTAGAACTATGAAATGATTTCTACTGGACATGACATGGATGATGTACACAAGAACTCACATCAGCCGTAATTAAGTGCACAAGACCTAAACAAGATCAAACCAGTCAGGGGACTAGAGGTGGGTTCTGGAGGTCGCACCCTTGGCTGAGTAACTATTGAAGGCTAATGGCTGCTGGGGGAAGGAGAGTCACTTTTTTGGGGGGAACTGTGGCCAATGGTAAATTGCTCAAGCCCTAGGAGATAACCCACATTCATGAGCATGTAGGCTGTGCTAATTATGCTCTGTGGGTTTCGAAAACGAGGACACAAAGTTGAGAGGGAAATGTCTTGGGTGATCCTAGAGGAAGCTGGAAGAGAGTGGGAGTGCCACAGGATGATTTCATCAAAACATTTTATATAAGGTATGAAAGTTTAAAGAATAAATAAAAATAATGTATTTCTTAAAAAGAACAAAAGGATTTCCTCTTATGTTTCAGGTTTTATATTGAAATCAATGATAAAGTTTGAATTCAGTTTGAGATAGTACAAAGTATTTATTTTACTTTTTAAAACAATTTAGCATCAGAATATGTATTTATTATAGAACATATATTTATTACAGAATACATATTGTTACAGAATATATATTTGTTACAGTCCCATTTTTAAAAATAGTCTATCCTTTCTCCATTAAATTAATTTTACATCTGTTTTAGAGTATTAATTTCCACTAGTGGTTTTATTTCTGCTTTCTTAATCATGCAATAATTTTTCTTACAGGACCACATAAATTTGATAGAAGTAAATTACAGTTCTATATTACCTGAAAATCTTGCAATAAAAATTAGCCAGTGGTCACACCCTAAAAATATAAATGCCAAAAGTATAAGATGATATTAATATATAAGATTAAGTAAAACTGAATCTCAAAACAACATTTCATTTTGTTAGGTTTATAATCTTTCATTTAAATATCCTAGATTTGTAATGTCTACCACTAAAGTTCATTCTAAACAAACAAACAAACAAAAAGAAGTCACTTACTTGCCTGAAGACACTACCAATATGCAAATATCATGATGATATTTATGTTTCATTCCTGTGTCTACCATTATATATACATTCACTTCTGTGTTGGAGAAGAAGATAATTGTATTCTTTCAATTGAGTGTCTGAAAAATAGTATCCAAAACTACAGGAATATCATAAGACATAAAAAGGAAGTGACAATCAAAATATTGTCCTTCAGTTGGCAAGCTTGATAGATACTTCTAATCCTAAAAACTGAGCAGTCATTTAGAAGTAGCCATTGGACTCCAGCATAATTTTGCAGTGCCTTTGCTCTTGATTTTTCTGCGGTTTTTGTTTTGGTTTCTAATTCCTGCTATTGCAACAGTTTCCTGGAGATTATTCTCTGTACCCCAGAGAATCCTGTTCCCCAGGATTTGGGGAACACTTCAGAAGGAGCGGCAGAGTAAATGGAACAGCTGAAGGAAGGGCCAGAAGGGGTATGGAGTGTAGGCTTCTGGGAATCACATGGCTTTTGCACTCAGAACCTCAGCAACTGTGATTTTCTGCACAAGTCTGGGTGTGTCACTGCCTTGTCACAAAAGGGGAGGGGCTTATGAGAGGAACCTTAGTGGCAGACATTACAAATCCAGGACACTTAAAAGAAAGATTAAAAACCTAACAAAATAAAATGTTTTGTGATTCAATTTTACTTAATCTTACACTTTGGTATCAGCTTATACTTTTGGCATTTAGATTCATAGGGTGTGAGCACTGGTTAATTTTTATTGCAAGATCCTCAGTTTATGTAGAACTATAATTAAGTATATCAAATTTATGTGGTCCTGAAAGAAAAATGATTGTGTAATCAAGAAAGCAGAAATAAAACCATTAGTAGCAATTAACTATATATAAACCCATTGGGGGATTTACATACAATTAACAATTGATGCAGCAAGGGGGAGATGGTTTCTTCAGTGGTGAAGTCCATGCTGAAAGTGCCTGTGCTCTTGTAAACAAACTCGCCCATTCCCTTGTAAAGGTCTCTCCCTCTTTCTCTCTCTCTCTCTCTCTATCTCTCTCTCTCTCTCCATCTCTTTTGCCCTCTTGCTCTCTCTCTCTCTCACACACACATGCAGAAGCAAAAGTGAAAGTGTGAGCAGATTTGGGAACTGAAAGGACTAGCAGGTATGGAGGATAATGGGAGAACATGTTTGAGAGACAGTGTGTAAATGTGTAAAAATGTCTTAATGAAACCATTGTCAGTTATTGTTAAAATACACTAATAAAAGCATCAAAAGAAGAAATAAAATAAAAATTCCTGTCTACATTAAGTTACATTTTGTTTAAATAGTTTCTTCTGTGTAATTTTCAAAGCTAATGAAAGCTTTAAAAATAGTAAAAATTCTAACGAAAGTCGTATTTGTTTTAAATATATAGTTTCTTCTGTGTGATCGTCAGAGTAATTTTATTTTCTGTGCCTGGGGGGAATGAAAACCAGTTATTCTTGTAACAGGAAACCTGGAGAAGCACCCAGCTAGCCACATAGTCACTTGCTGCTTCCTCTTGCTGTCTCTGAATCATCCTCAGGTACAAACACTCCTCTTCAGCAATGATTCAGGGCTCATCTGCTGTCTGCCACTCCACACTCTAGCACACATGAATTATCTTCCTAGAGTGATCAAACCACTTCTAAGATCACACAGAGTCTGCATTTGTTAGAAGTGCCAATGTTTTGTCAAGCTGATTTGAATAAATACAAAGTTTGCACAACTAGAAAGTCATCAGATTCTTTGCACATCACCAAAATAAAACACTGTTTCATTTGGTCTGTTTTATTACATTGATTCAGTTTCTTGTAAGCTATGTAAACTCCCCAGAATCTGACATCAATAAATATAATAAAGTCCTACCTATAAAAAATATTCACAATATCTTACACTCAGACTACAGTACTAGCCCAGCTGGAAGTATTGGCAGAACACTTGTCTAGCATATATGACATTGTTGAGTGCATTCTCAGTACTGGCCAAAAAAAAAAAAAAAAGAGAGAGAGAGAGAGAGGGAGATTACAAGAACTGTTGACAAAGGAAGCATAAGCTTTCTATATACTACATATTAGATTATTTCTGAGCTATGATTTTACTTCAAATGAACAGAGGTCCAATACCTAAACAGAAAAGTGTATTAACACATTAGAGGTTAATTTCATAGTTTATAAGATATGTAAGTTTGTGTCATCCCCTGTGGGGTGCTTCTAGACAACTCAGCACTGAAAATGGACGTTGGATGAGGCTTGGATTTCTCCTCGCCCCCAGTGTTGTTGCCCCTTCTTAGCCACATAAGAAAGTGGGTTTCACGTTACACAGTATAACAGACAGCATTTCCATCATCACTAAAAAGCTCACTGCGCAGATCATGTTCACAATGAACAAACTTTAAAAAAAAACTAAGATTTTTATTCTTACCAAAAGAATTGTTGTTGTTTTTTTTTTTACAGCATACAACAATGTTCTATGCTGTTTGTGCACAGAGAGATTTTAAAACTTGACAGCTCAAAATGATATTTTTTATTTCTTTTATTAAGTATGTATGTGTTTACAATGTGGGTGAGTACAGGCATGCACAAGCCACAAGACCCAGGCAGAAGTCAGAGGGCAGACAACCTTCAGAATTGGTCTGTCCTTCCACTGTGGGTTTCAGGGATCAAACGCAAATTGTACTTCTTGCATGGCAAACAGCTTTCTCTCCTGAGCCATCCTGACGGCCGTCAGTAGGTACTGCTTAACTAAATTGGCTGAAAGAATTACTGTTATTACACTGTGTCATAGGGTAAACACTTAAGTTTACTTAAGTAAGGTCCCCAAACATATGTTGTGGGACCTGAAGCATGAAGTGCAGGAGACATCATAGAGGAAAAAACAAACAGTATCAGTTACTTCAATTTTTTTTGAGAATGGAAAAGAACACAACCAATTGCAAATTTTAATTAATAAATAACCACATGCCTAAAGATAATTAAAATGGTATAATTATGGCACACCCAGCACACTCCTCTGCTCCTTATGTTTTCCAGGATCGTATGACACTGTGGAATTTGATAGCACATGTGCAGAAAGGCATGTCAATCCTCATCCAGAAATAGGCAACTATTTTTCAGTGGTGTAAGAAGGAGAAAAGCGTGTGATCTCCTACAAACGTAAGTTGTTGTTTTTTTTTTAATTACTCACAGTTTTGTGCCTCAGAGGCATATAGTTTCGTCTGTTCTCCATTGTGTAATTCCTAACAAAAAGAATGTGTGTATGTGTGTGTGCTATGTCTAATTTTTTATGCTTCAGTGCATCTTATTTTTATCAAACCCACTCCTCCCTTAGTCTTTTCGTATGTGAACGTGGGGCTAACTGCAGCATGGACAGCCTTCCAAGGGCTGTGGCCCGCAGAAACCTAACAGTTTCTCCTGTGGCATCTGTCAGCTGCCTGGAGTGTCTCATAGTTTTGGTAATGTTTGCGTTACATTGCAAGCATTCCTGATAAACGCAAATTTCCATTTTGCCAGGTGTGACTTAAATCTATTCTCTGAACCCCTGGCAGTAGGCAAAAAGACACCTTGTTAGGTGGTGGTGTTTATATATCAGTCAGGGGCAGAGCAGATGGCAGGCCTTTGCTCATCCTAGCTTGATGGCCTGGCTTGGTGGCCAAAGCTGCTTTATGCCTAGGACTCATAGAAATCAAATCAAATAAAATCCAGGCAGCACAGCACAGGAGGAGGAAGACAGACAAAGACCTGAGGACCGCCGTGCCACCCACAGACCTGACCTTCAGCGCATGGCACAGGTAGGCCACAGACATCCACTTGCTGCCTCGCCACAGTGCTCCTACGGAGGATGGCGCTTTGCGAAGCCAGCCTGGAGCAGGAGCCACCGAAATGTGCGAGTATGTGGCAGACAGATGCGAGAGAAAGAGAAGTGGAGCAGCTTGAGCGTTATGGAGAGAAATGGAACGGGAGACTTGAGGGTGGAGAGAGGTAGCCTGTTAGAGTGGTCATATCTGCCACCTGGTCATGGTGAGGTCCCAGCCCGAGCTGTGGTTGAGGGCCGGGTCTGAGTTCATGGCTACACAGCAGCAGGAGTCAGTGCGGATGTTCTTGGCTCGTATTACCACTATAGAACACAGCGATGTCCCTGGTCACGGAAGCTGCTAAAGACAACGCAGCTGTCCAGGGGCTGTTCATAACTGGCCCCGTCCCTAACTGGATGCAGTGCTCTGAAGAACGGGGCCCCATCTCATCACCTGCCTTAGTGCAAGGGAAAGCAGGGTCTGCGCCTCACCCAAGCAGCACGGTGGAGCTGGTCTTGGTGGGCGGGGTGTGGGTGAGCCACACCCAAGGGTGTGAGAGTGGGAGTGCTGGCCCAGCTCCTCACAAGCGCAGCACTTGGGAGAGAGGGCCCAGAACCTTTGCTGGGAAAGACAATGGAGCCAGCTCTAGAGGACTGGGTGCTGGTGAGCAGGCCCCGAGGGCGTCAGCTGACCCTGTCTCATGCTGATGGTGTCACTGGGTGGCCTAGTCCAAGCAGTGATGGAGATTTTGCCCTGGTGGTGCAGATAAGCAGGCTGATGAGCTAACTCACTACTACCCAGGCCCAGATCCAGGCCTCTGAGTTGGCCCGTCCCAGAGTCAGTATCATCTGCAAATGGTTGGGAAGCTGTTACAAAGCTGCAGAATCTCCATGACACAGGGCAATGACAGTATAACTGGGGGGAGGCAGACTGAGGATCCAACGTTGATGGTGTCACAGAAGCCAGAGATCTCGAACCAAACCAATGACAACATTTGCAAGTGAAGACGTGTGTGGACAGAGGGATGTATGTGGGATACACTGTGACATACTACAGCTTCCAAGAGGAGATATTTTTTTAATGCTATATTGTGTTGTTGTTGGTGTCTGTGTGTTTGTGTGTTTTATTGGGGGGGGGGGAGGAGGTTGCAAGGGTGAAGGGCAGATATGAGGGGATAGGAAGATGAGCAGAACTAAAGTACATAATGTGAAACTCACAAAGAAGACAGATAGATGGATGGATGGATAGATAGATAGATAGATAGATAGATAGATAGATAGATAGATAGATAGATAGATGTCTTTTAAGACAGGGTTCTCTATGTAACCTTGGTTGTCCTGGACTCACTTTGTAGACCAGGCTGGCCTCAGAACTTGAGGACATCCTCCTGTCTCTGCCTCCCAGAGTGCTTGGATTACATGTGTGTGCCACTGAGCCCAGTAAATAAAAAGTTTATTAAAATCTACTAAATGCTTATAATTTTACAAATCTGAAAAATGGAAGTATTTTTCCAAACAGTACTTTCTGAACCAGATATATCAAACACCAGTTCCTATTTTCCACAAGTACTTTTAAGCACTGAGTCATCTCTCTGGGCCCTAAGTCACATTTTATAAATTACCTCATCCCACTTTGTGGAACATTTAATATGTCATGATGACATCACTGTAGGTGGTACCATTTCCTGGGCTGGGATCTTAGACTGGGTCAAAAGGAGAAAGAGTTGAGCACAGGCATTCACTGTTGTCTGCTTGGTTATGGATGCCATAGGATCAGGTGCTTCATGGTCCTGCTGTCTTGACTTCTCCATCTTACTGGACTGCAGCCTTGAACTGAGCCAGAATAATTTCTTTCTTCCATATCCTGCTGTTTTGTTACAGGAAAAGAAGTTAGCAACATGACTTTTCTGAAGTTTCATAACATAACAGCAAGGCAAAGATTTGAACTCAAGCTGTTTCATTCAAAAACTAGAATTCTGATCTCCATGCTTTATTGTTAGGTGCAATGATCTTTGCATCATATGTTTTTAATGCTGGCTAGACTTGATTGAAAAGTTCAGTGTTCTAAAAGAAAACAGTTGTCAGCCAAAATTTTTATACCCAGCAAAATAAACAAAAAATTCAATAGGCAAATGAACGTATTCTTAGTTAAGCAAAAACTATTGGTTTTTAGCAAAAGAAAGAAAGAAAGAAAGAAAGAAAGAAAGAAAGAAAGAAAGAAAGAAAGAGTACTAAAGAAAAATAAAAGTAACAAGGAATCTCCTAGACTGAAGTGAAAAGATACTCAGCTAATTAATGCATGTGAGGAAAGAGCACTGAAAAGAAAAAGTACAGAGGGAAAGACATGTGTGATTTCCTCAGTTTAGTTTCCTAAAGGATTCTCTTAGAAAATAACAACAGTGTGTCCTCTTCCCATGTGGCCTGACAAGGAAGGACTTAGCTCTAATATGACTTGATGAACTGCAGAATAGAGAAAAGGGGTGAGGGAGAGGAGGGAAGGTGGGACTGGGAGGTGAGGAGATACGGGGATAAGACCAGGATGTAAAATGAATAAATAAATATTTTTTTTTTTAAGAAGAAAAGAAAAACAGAACAAGGCACTCTAGTGGCTTAATTCTAATTTCATGTTACGGTCTTTTTTCATGTGTATGTACAAAACCCTTGTCCTGTGCTGATTGACCGCGAGGGGATTTGGTTGTAGATCTCTGGATGAGAATAAAGAAGCCAGGGCAACAAAACACATGAAATACTGCAATAGTTCGTTATAGGTCCAGGAGGTGGGAAGCTTAAACAACACAGGCTGGTGATGTCTTCGGGGCTTTGCCCACAGCAGCAGTCAAGGACAGGATGAAGTTGTAGTCCTCAGTGTGATCGAAGATTTCTGCCTGGGAATTCTGACTAGTGGATTTGGTGGATAGATCAAGTCGTGTGAGCCTCACTGTGACTCAGGCGTGGCTTCCACCAGGTATCCAGGTATCGCTACCATCTGAGCTGTGTAGGGTGTAGACATCAGTGTAATGCTTCCAGGAAGTTGTGCTTTCTACTTCCATATTTGTGTACGGCAGATGTCTAGATAAACATGCTATGATACAGTCTGGGCAGAGAGCTGGAAACTGAATTAAGAATTGTAAGTCCTGTCTCTGGTCTGAGACCATTCGCCCTATACTCAAAATGTCTGCTCAGGTAACATGAAATTGCAAGCATGTACGGCACTTTTGCTCATGACGATGAACAATATATTAGTCCGCTAAGGCTGCTGTAACAAAATCACAGACCAGGTGGCTTGACCAAGAAAATTTGTTTGGTTTTGTTTCACATCTCACATGTTCTAGGTCAAGGTGCCTGTGGTTCAATGACTGACAAGGGTTCCCTCTCCATTTGTCAGATGGACATGACTTCTGCTATGTCCTCTGACAGTAGGAGAGAAATACTCTCTTGAATCTCTCCACACAACAAAAGTAATTATATAAACTCAGGACTTTGCTTACTTTCTTAGAGCCCTGACATTCAAATACAGGAGATCAGATTCCACATATGGGTTTTAGAGACAACCAGAAGTTCAGTCCACAGAAGTCAGAACCATCTGCTGGATTCTGGCCTTCCTCAACTCCAAGAACTCTGGTGAGTAAGATCACTTTCCGAACAGTTTGTGCACCAGATCAACCCATGCCTTCTCTTTGCCACCACGCAAGGTATAGAGGATGGCTGCTACAGAGTTGATTCCAATGACAAGAAAGGGAATGGGGTGGATAGTGGGGAGGGGAGAGGAGGAGAGGGGGGAAGAAAAAAAGAAGGAAGGAAGGGGAGGGAGAAAGGGGAAAAAGCAAAGAAATAGAAAAAAGAAAAAATAGAATAATAAAGAATGACACAAAAAAATGTGACTGAATTAAAGAAAAAACCAAAAAGGCAGAGAAGAAAGGAAGGAAGGAGAGAGAGAGAAGGGAGGGAGAAAGAGAAGTAGGGAGAAGGAGGATGGGGATGAGAAGAAAAAAATAAACCTAAATATTACAGAAATAAATGTGGTGCATACATAATGGAATTAAGTCCTGAAGTTAAAAGGACATAAGCAAAAGTAAAAAAAAATAATATATACACAATAATAGAATTTATATAGGCTTCAAAAAACACAGAACAGTATGTTGTTTTTCTGCTTAGGAATTATTTCACATGTGGTAAGATTCTAAGGGAATTACAAACAAATCACTTAGTGGTTACTTCTTGGGGAAGAGAAAGAAGGTCTCAAGCATGTAGGTAATATGTGAGTCCATAAGTGTTCGGTTTTAATGTATTGTTTACATAATACATGCATGTTTATTCCATGTGGACTACAATTTAGCCATATATTTATTAAACATTTTAACTAAGGTAGTTATTTTTTAATTAGCTTGAAGCATATACAGTGGGTTTTAAATATAATATTTGTTAAATCATACATGCATTTTGAAATAGCAAGGTTTTTCTCCCCCCATATTTCCTAGTTCAACTAGAGGAAATGCTAGGCGAGGAAATATCCTTTTCCTGTGCAGTATACATTTTGAAATGTGCCAAGAGGAAAGTGTCTTTTGAGGATGAATTTCAGGATGGGATTGATGGGTAATTTACCAGTTACATGACTGCCAGACCTCAGAGTAGAGCTCTGAGCTGCACACCAAGGAGCAGAGGTAATTCCTTCCCCCCTGTACCCTAGCTACCCACTGTACCCTAACCGGATATGAGCCAAGATCCATGGATGGAGCAATTTATCACTCCAGAAGCTAAAGACAACACTTGATGTCTCCCAAACTGAGGTTATGGGTATTAATTTGTCCATAAAGCATTTTGAGGTTGTTTCAATAAAGAGTAAACCCGTATATAACACTTGTTGTGTTTTACAAGTATAAGCTAGCAAG